GTCCCTCCTGCATTAGGCAGCATCCAGCAGAGCCCAGATGCAGGTCCATCTGAGCTGGGCACCACTTTCCCCACCCTCCTCTCCATGATCAGCTGCGCACAGGATAAGAAATATTGTCACCATCTCACACTGAATGGATTTTATTCTTTGACCATAAGGCTCGCTAAGTTAAACACTTCAACAGCCCCCACCCCCCACCCCCCGCTTTTTGCTTGCCCTTCTAAAAGGCATTGGGTTGTCTTCACGGACCAAAGTTCAGCAGTCCTGTTCCATGTTGGTATAGAATCGATAGGAGGTGTTAGGGGCTGGGCAGGAAGGCTCACATTGACATCATCAGACGGAACTCCTTCTGGTACACGTCTGGAACCATACCCACTGGAGAATCAATCATCTGGACGGTGTTTTTGGTAAAGAGCTTGTATTCATAATGTATAAGCTGTTCCCAGAAGCCATTGTTAGGTCGGATGATGGGGCGGCAGCACTTGGTCCATGTGTGGGCGTCGAGCAGCGACACGGTGTGGTACTTCATCAGGAAGGCCATGCAGACTGTGGCCGAGCGGCTCACGCCGGCGGCGCAGTGCACCAGCGTGCGGCCCTGTTTCATCTCCACGCTGTGGATGTGATCAGCTATGGGATCAAAAAAGTCACAGATGCGCGCGCTGGGAGAGTCAGTCACTGGTACCTTTAGGTATTGAATGTCCTCAAAAAATGTGTTGACTACCTCCACTGAAACATTGATGACAGTCGTGATGCGATTGCTGGACAACAAGAATCTGTTGTTAGCCGCCATACTATTACTTATATAAAGGCTGCTGGTTATCTGGGAGATGCCATGGACCCACGAGGGCTGTGGGGCAGCCTTAACCGGCAAGGGACGTGGTGGTGGTGGTGTTGTCATCGAGGCAGCAGGGCAGCAGTCTCTCTGGGCCGGTTTCGGGGCACCACTCCCACTGGTGTGTTAAGTAAGCTGCCGCTCTGCAAAGCCTCTGGCGAGGGTCTGAGGGTCAGTAGGCAAGCCACTGGTTATTAGCCCCTCTGCCCTGAAGCGTCACAATCCCCTGCCTGCCAACTGGTTTCCATGGCAATGGCAGTTTGCCACAGGGAGGACTTGGTCTCCCAGCCAGGTCTACAGAGAAACCCCTCCCTGCCTCTGAGCGTCATAATCCTCTACCACCCAGCCCACTGGTTTCCATGGCAACAGCAGTTTGCCACAGGGAGGACTTGGTCTCCCAGCCAGGTCTTCAGAGAAACCCCAGATCTTTTCTTATCATTCTTCATAGTCATTCATTTTCCAAGCTCTAATTTTTTATTTTTATATTTCAATTACAGTTGGCATTCATTATCCAACCCCCAATTCTGATCTGTCTTAATGTTTTAAAATGTTCTATTGCCAGATATCTATTTTAGGTTTCAGTTATTGGACCACAATGAACACTAGATCTATGAATGCTTCTATTTTATTGGTGTTGCAGAACAGGCTTACACTTTTTCTACAAAGTTGTAGAATCATATTTTAAGTTGGGGAACAGCATTTGGCTCACGAGATATGCTAATCACTATAAACGTTCAGTAAGATATAGGCTTGGCTGGGCTTAGTGGGCTGGTCTGACACATCTTAGTTGATTGTAGCCATAGAATTTTGCTCCTGATTAACACGTCAGGACTGGTTTTAAAGGAACGTTGCCAACTGGTGTATGTAGCTGTTTATCTACGGTGAAGTTGGCCTGTGGTGGACAGTTGTGACTAATTTAGCTGTGTCACAGTCCATTTGTGCATATGGCTCACATGATTTATCACTCGATTCTACTTTATTACCTGAAACAACAGCTCAAATTATCCTGTCTACTTTCTTGAAAAATAATGCCCATATACTTTGTAAACTACAAATCATTCTGATCACAACTGATGGTTTCTCCCAGTAACGTTAAAAATTCTTGAACAAGTCAATGCTACATCATAATTGGGCCAAAAAGAGATTTATTTTATTTTACATTTTATTTTATTTTTTCCCAAAGGACTCATCAGTTATTAATTACTCAAATATTTTTTTAATTTTATTTTTGTTTAAAATATTACACATGTCCCTTTTTCTCCCCAATGACCCATTCCACCCCGTCCCATCCCCCTCCCCAGTCCCTCTCCCTACCATTGTCTGTGTCCTTGGGATGTGCATATTTATTTTATTTATTGATTTCAAAGAGAGGAAGGGAACGGGAGAGAGAGAGAGAAACATCAATGAAGAGAGAGAATCATTGATCGGCTGCCTCTTGGGCGCCCCCTACTGGGGATCAAACCGGAAACCTGGGCATGGGCCCTGACTGGGAATCGAACCAGTGACCTCTTGGTGCATGGGTCGATGCTCAACCACTGAGCCACATTGGCAGGCCAAAACAGATTTTTAAAATGTTACCTGAGGTTTACATTTCCTCTCAGCTAAGATTTTTGTAGAATTTGACTGAAGATTCAAAAGAACTATAACCTAAAACAAATCATTTTGCAGAGCAGCTAATAGACACATTAGTTCGTGCTTGTTTGCTCCTTGTCATTTTGTATTGTATGCAAAGGTGTACTGTGACTATGAGCAAGGATAAAATAGATGTCAGCCTGTTCTAGAATGATCAAGGAAATGATAACCTCAAAAGACAACGCAGTTTTCTTTTTCTCAGTAGTCATAATCAGATTACTTTGCACTATTTAAATTGTCAGTCCCCATAGTCTATCTAGAAGAAAACAAAACACAAATCCTAAATAAATAGAAAATTGTCTATTGAGGAGAGCTCCATTGGGTTAAAATTATTTTTAAAGATTTAATCTAACATTTGAGATATAGCATCATGAGAGCTTTGTAACCTAAGGATTAATGTGGAACCCCTTAAAAAAGTGTTAAGTCTAGTTATTTCATAAATATATGCCTCTTAAACTTTAAAAATGTAGTAAGATTAACCAAAATAACTTCATCCTCTATTCCCGAAGACAAGCATGACTTGTATTAAATAGATGCATTTATTTATTTTTTCATCCAATATTCTGTGATGCCCTTTCGTCTGAGGGGTGTTGGATGTCATAAAACTTCATGATAGGGCTTTTTCTGGGTAGGTAAGTTGATCTTTCCTCTTCCTGAGTTTGGAAACAGGTCACTTTCAGATTCCCACTTGTCTCTACTTTTCCTTATTATTTAGGGAAGAAGATGTATAAAAAACTTGCCCAAGAACACACTCTCTTCCTGCCACTGGGAGAAGACCTTGCATCTCAAGAACTAGATAATGTTTAGATTTCTCAATTCAGCAGCCAAGGCCCTTTCCAATCTGATCTAAGCCTGCTTTTCAAATTTCATTTATTCGTTGATTCACCAAATTTTTATTAAGAATCTAGTGTGCTAAGCATTTCCACCCATATAAATCTTCAGTTCTGACCAAAGAAATGAAATGTTCTTGGTAAATACAAAATATGCATTCTTGCTTTCTTACTTTTGTTCACTCCATTCCTTTCTCTTGAGGAAACTTTCTCCTGTCTGCTTACTGAAGCCTATCCAAGCCTCAAGACTCAGCCTGATTAATTTTTAAAAAAGCATCCACTGAACATCCAGTCTGTGTCAGGTACAGTTCAAGCATTGTGTAGATCCAACACAGAGGCCTAGATATCAAAGAAATTACAGTTTGGTCAGAGAGATAATCATGAAAGAGTTCAGAAGAGAGGGTGATTCATAGTTTTATGTGTGTGTGTGTTTGAGGACTGGGGGCAGTAGGGAGATGTTATGAAATCTACACAGAAAACATGACCAGGAACGAAGCTTTTTGTTCATTTGTTTGTTTTTATTATCTATTGTTTATTCTGTCCAAGTTTTTTTTAAGTGAAAGAATGTTTATTAGTGAAGTAGTGAGACAGAAAGGAAGCAGAAGAGCTGTGCAAATTTTTGTTTTGAAAAATGTCAAACATAGAGAAAAGCTGGAAGAATAGAAAAATGAACACCCCTTTATCCTTCACCTATAATTCCTCTGTTGTTAACACTTCACCACCACATTCCCTTTTTCTCTTTAGTTACATATACAAACACACATATTTGTTTGCTTGTTTCTTTTTGCTGAACCATTGCTTGTTAAATGTACATATGGCAACACTTTAGCCCTTCAGTACATATGTCCTAAGAACAAGTACAGTACATTCTCCTATATCACCACAATACAATGACCATACTCAGGAAATTTAACATTGACCCAACATTATTATCTAATATATAATCCATATTCAAAACTCACCAATATTCCCAATAATGTTATCTGTAGCTGATTTCTACCACCACCCCTCCATTTGATCCAGGATGGGATCAAGGATCCCACATTGCATTTAGTTGTCATGCTTCTTTAGCATCTTTTAATTTGGAACAGTTTCTAAACCTTTTGTTTTGTTTTGATCTTTCCTGACATTGACAGTTTTGAAGAGTTGAGGCCGGTTTTGCAGAACATCTTTCAATTTGGATATTGTTCTTTCTGGATTAGATTCAGGTGAAATATTTTTGGCAAGAATACTACCAGAGTGTGTCATTCCCAGTACACTGCACTGGGGGCATATGATATGTTTGTCCTATTAATGATGGTAATAATTTTGACCACTCGCTTAAGGTAGCATTAGTTAAGTTTCTACATTATAAAGGTAACTTTTCCTCTTTTTAGCAATAAGAAATATGTAGAGCTGTACTTTTTTGAGTTTGTGAGATTATCTTTGGAATAGGACTTTGAAGGATGAATAGGAGTTTCCTAGGTAGACAAGAAGAGGGGAAGATTCTAGACAGGAAAGGAAGTACATATAAAGGCACAAAGGTGTGAAACGGTGTCAGGAGGGCAGAGAGCAACCACTCAGAATTACTAGAACACACAGTGAGGTAAGAATGTGGCAGGTGGAGTGGCTAGAGGAGCCAACAACGGAGATCACAGAGTGCCCTGCAGCAAGGACTTGGGCTTGATCCTGTAGGCCATGGTGGCACACTGGAGTATTTTATGCAAAGAAATGGCATAATCAGAACTGATTTTTAGGAAGCTCACTTACAGCTACACGGATGGATTTGTGGAGGAGAAACAGTGTGGTGGGGAGAAAGGCAAAACTTGAGGGAGTTAGAGCTATAGCAATAGTCTAGGTGAGCAATAATACATCTGTTGCAGACTCTTTTCTGACATGGAAGCTGGAGTTCATCTTAAGTGTACACATGCACCAGGGCACATAAGAGAATGGAGTATCAAACTTCCTATGGATCAGTGTCTGGAGAGTTTGGTGCTTTCGAGTGTGGACAGTAAAGCAAGAGGTTAAGGATGTAGGTAATATATTTGCATTGTAGGATAATAGTGGTGAGAAAAACCTAAAGAAGTATGACATGAGGGAACCAGAAAGCTAGTAGCTAAAAGGAGTTGCATGCTATGTTGTATGATAGACAGGTAGGATGGGAGACCCCCAGGAGAAGGCCCGAAGGCAGAGGTGGGAGTTGGCCTCCCGAGTACTCAGTGCAGAGAGTTGTATGTTTATTCCATTTCCACCTGGGCTGAGTCAGTTGCGTTACTGTATACAACCAGCGGGAAGCCTGCTCTCTAAGACTCCTTGCTGGGTTCAGTCTGGCACTTCGTTGCTGGACGGTGAGAGGACACAGATGGATATGAATGTGGAAGTCTTTAACACCCTCCAAGTCCAGAATATAGATAATATGAGAAAATTATTGTGACTTATTTGTTAGGTGAAAAAAAAAACCAGTTTATAGCCCCTCCGGTGTGGTTCAGTGGTTGAGCATTGATCCATGAACCAGGAGATCATGGTTCCATTCCCAGTCAGGGCACATGCCTGGGTTGTGGGCTCCATCCCCATAGGGAGTGTGCAGGAGGCAGCCGATCATTGATTCTTTCCCATCATTGATGTTTCTGTATCTCTCTCCTTCTCCCTTCCTCTCTGAAACCAATAAAAAATATACATATTAAAAACAACAACAAAGACAGTTTATAAAAAAGTAGGGCCCAGCCAGTGTGGCTCAGTAGTTCAGTGCCAACCCATGAACCAAGAGGTTACCGGTTCGATTCCCAGTCAGGGCACATGCCCAGGCAGCCTATTGATGATGTTTCTCTCTCATCAATGTTTCTATCTCTCTATTCCTCTCCATCCCTCTCTCTCTAAAAATCAATAGAACATTAAAAAAAAAAGTAGGTACTTTTTTGTAAAGGTCAAAATATGCACATGTATATGTGTGGCAGGCAGTATATGTTAGCAGAGCAAGGATGATGGGCCAGGTACAGAAAGAAGGTCACCAGGTGGAAAACCCCAGGTGGCCAGCAAGGGACAATTGTAAGGTAAGGTGGGACCTCGCCCCCAGGGTGGCCTTTCCTCCCCTAGCCTATTACTGTTCTTGTGATTTGGACCCCCTGACCTTTCCTCCCTAGAGATAACATCTAGGCCTCAGTTGTATTTCAGTTCCAGGCCCAGAAAAGCAACAAAACCAGCCACAGCTGACCTCAGGACCAACTGCGTTGGATAATGACCCCCGCCCTGGCACTGACCAGTCAATCAGTGGAGACCTAGAAGGATGCTCTAAGGGGTTGTACAAAATGGAAAGTTTTATAGGAAGAAGAGTGGGGCGAGGGAGCTATTAACAAAAGAAAAGAAAGGATTTTTCTGCCAAGACTTCTAGGACAGTTTTGGTGGTGGGGTGGGGGGAGAATGGGAAGGGTTTTTATCATGCAGATTTCCTCTTCTTTCTATGGGGGATGGAGAGGGACTGTGTGTCAGATTACTTTATTGGTGCTTGAGCAGAAAATTCCAGACTGGTTAAGATTTTGTTTCTGGGAGAGGTTGAACTGCAATTAGATCAGGTATTAAATCTAGGTTTGGTGTCATGGGCTTTTAGCACAAGTGAAGCCATTTTGGGCTTGTACTTTTTTCTTTAACAGTAGCCAAAAGTGGAATTGGTGGGTCATATGTCTATGTTTAAGTTTCTGAGGAATTGCTATACTGGTTTTGTGTATTTCTTTTAAAATTTTTATTTAGGGTTTAGAGAGAGAGAGAGGAAGGGGGAGAGACACACAGAGAGATACAGAGATAGAAACATCAATTTATTTTTCCACATATTTATGCATTCATTGATTGATTTTTGTATGTGCCTTGATTGGGGGTTTGTACCCACAACCTTGGCATATCAAGACTATGCTCTGACCAACTGAGCTACCTGGTCAGGGCCTTGGTTTTGTGTATTTTAAACATTTTACATATATTGTCAAAGGGATTTTGATTGAGATTATATTAATTTTATAAATTAATCTGGCTGGAGTTTATGTCTTTATACAGTCATTCTGTTAGAGAACATATGTTTGGTCCTCTTTTTTGTCCTATCATAAAGTTTATACCTTTTTTTTAGAGTACTCACATACTTCATAGTTTTATACTTCTAGGTATTATATAAATTTTGTAGCTATTGTGAATGGTATTTCTTTTTCATGCTTTCTTCCCACCCTCCCTTCCTCCCTTTGTCCCTCTCACCTTACACCCTTTTCCTCCCTCCCTCTTCCCTCTT